GTGGCATAATCAGCAAAGGCGTTAAGGCATCGTTGAAGTTTGTTCGTTATTTCGCGAGGCAACCTTCCTTTGACGGCTATTGCGGTATCATCTGCGAACAGGAAAAACACGCAACCGTCACCGAGGGGAGGAATGTCGGAAGTGCTGTAAAGCAAGGGGCCCAGCAGACTGCCTTGCGGAACTCCTGCTGGGATGGAAAACGTGTCTGAAAGACAACCATTCAACAATACCTTAAACGACCTTTGCTGAAGGTAGTTACGGGTGATTTTAACAAGATCCAAAGGACAGTTGAAGTTACAAAGCTTGTATACAAGCCCATTGTGCCAGATATTGTCAAACGCTTTCTCAACGTCTAACAAGGCCATGGCTGTGGACTTGGATACAGCTTTGTTACTTCGGATGTTATTCATCACCCGCACTAGCTGGTGATTGGTGTAGTGCCCCTTTCTGAATCCAAACTGTTCCGGAAGGAGAATGTTATTTTCCTCGACAAACTTGAGCAAACGATTGAGAATAAGTTTCTCGAACAATTTGCTCAGCGCTGAAAGGAGGCTGATTGGTCTGTAGCTTGAAGCTAGCGTTGGGTCCTTACCGGGCTTGCGGATAGGTATGATTTTCGCTGTCTTCCGTATTGCAGTTCCAAGCATCTGTTGAAGACAGCAGCCAGCAGAGAGTGAACCTTCATGCTGAGATTTTTCAATACTAGGTTGAATATTCCTTCAAACCTGGGGCCATCATGTTTTTGGTGCATTCAGCGCTGAGCAAATCTGTTCCACTGTGATTCTGATGGCACAAGGGGAGGAATCAAGGTTCAGTACGCATTGCTCAACCTGAACTTCGAGCGGACTTTGGATGTTGGAGCCAAGCAAGTGCGATTTGGCAATATGCTCACCAATCGCATTTGCTTTCTCCTGAGGGGTGATTATGAGCCGATCGTCATCATTTTCATCTTTGAGTAGTGGAATGGGTTTGGGGTGCGTCTTTAAGACCTTGGCAACTTTCCAGAATGGTCTGGAGCGGTCGTCCAGATTCTGAAACTCCAGAAACTTTCGTTCCGGAGTGAGACCATTCTGGAAGCAATCTCCTTGTTCAGATCGGCAATTTCACGTTTCCTCGCTAGATCTCCAGTCCTCTGAAACTGGCGTCTACGAACATTTCTCAGGCGAATCAAGAGTTGGGTGTGAGAATCAATGGCAATAAACTTACCCCTCACAGGAACTCGTCGGACGCACGCCTTGTCAGCCACGGTTATGGCTTGGTGGAGTCCCTCCAACGCTCGGTCGATGTCCGCCACGGAGTCAAGCGGCGGGTTGTCGATGATGTGCCACGCGTCCAAACTGGGCCCAGTTTACGCGATGATAGTCCTTGCGCAGGCTTGAAGCAGGAGCCACGTTGCAGCCCAGTTTAGCCACCACCGGTTGGTGGTCGGAGCTGAGTTCGTTCAAGGCTACCGGCTTAGACAAGCCGATATTTGTCAGGAACAGGTCTAGCGTCGATAGGTTGCCCGCCGGTGAGATAAATGTTGGCTCATCCTAAAACCCATGCTGTGAGTGGTCGAACAGCAGACAACCGTTCTGGTTCTGCTGGTAGTTCCACCAGGCCTCATGGCGAGCGTTTAGATCTCCTCCTACTACGAAGCGGGAACCGTTACGGGCGATGGTGGATGGTCCTTCTTGAATTTAGCCGCTAGTCCACTGCTGGCGGCACACTGTCGAGGGCAGTAGACGGCGATGAACTGGACGTATCCAGTTGACGACTCCACCTCCACACCTAGGGCCTCGATGATAGAGGTGTGGATATGGGACAGAGTGTGGTATTTTATTTCTTTCTTGACGACGACCGCAACACCAGTCCCCCCCCCCCCCTGGAGCTGGTGCGATCAAGCCGAATAATGTCGTGGTCAGGCAACCAGAAGCTGTCGCCGGACTTTAGATGGGTCTCGGTTAGAAGGCCCACGTCGATGCTGTGCTTGCGGAGGAAGTCGGCAAGCTCAATCTCTTTTGCTCTTACAGAGCAAGCATTCCAGGTGACGATAGTTAGCGGTTTAGACGCCATACTGGATGATGAACTTACCGAGGACTTGGATCTGTTCGGGCTTATTGCGGCACTTACGAAGAGCACCGGACATGTTGACGAAAATTTCCATCAGTTCATCCGCTGAGAACAGATCGGGGTTGTTGTTTTGCGCTGTTGGTTGTCTCCAGAATCCAGGGGGATTGAGAGCTTTGGCCAGCAGAATCACCGGAAGCTTCTTGAGAGGAGTGGGTTGCACTCGCGCATTTGCTTGACTTTGCTGGGGAGCACGAAGAGGCGGGAAATCCTCCGACCTGAATGCTGGGGTTCCTGGTTGATTGTTGTTTGACGCCTGCTTTCGGATGCGTTTGAAGTCCTCGCGTTTGGAGCACTGTCTGTCGGAACCTTGATGTGCACCACCACAGTTGGCGCATTTTAACGCCACGGCTCCATCGGCAGGGCAATCAGAAGTGGCGTGTTAGTGAGCGCAGTTACTGCAGCATGGATTGATGTTGCAGTAGACTGATGCAAAATTTGACTTTTTCGCTCCACAGTGCTTAAATGGTTTCAAATCGGGTCCTGATTAGCCTCCCAAAGTTACAACTCATTTGGTTAGAAACAGACTTCGCACAAGCCATTTGAAGTTTACTTGTAAATTACTATGGGAAATCTCAACTTTTTGTTCATTGCCTTCTAGTCTTTTTCCATATTGAGCTGCGAAACAGTTTGATAGCCATTCTTATAAAAAAATTTATCAGCTACAACTTTGCTGAAGATCATTTCTATGTAAAACGAGACAGTAAAAAGTTATTAATTATTTAAGAGATTGGTAAACTTATGACAAGATCAACCAGCTGCTCTGTAGGCAGCACTGTATTTTGCAGTGTGACATAGTAGCCATGATTTTTGTGTCCTATTCAACGGCCAAGAAACACCAATGTTGCCTGCTGAGCAGTTGATTGAGCATGATCATAAGACATCAGCGCATTGAACCATTGATAACTTTCGATCCTAGCATTTAATAAAAAAGTGGTCTTGAGCAAAGTTGTAGCTGGGAAAATTTCCTACAAGCACAATTAAATGTTTTTGAAGCAGACCGATATGGTGAATTATTAGATAGACACGAACAAAAATCTTAGTTTTACCATAGTAATTCCCATACAAACTTCAAATGGTTTGTGCCATCTCAGTTTCTCACCAAATGGGTTCAAATTTTGAGAGGTTAGTCAGGATCCGATTTGGAATCGTTTAAGTATTGTGGAGCGAAAATTTCAAATTTTGCATCACTCTAATGTTGCAGTTGCGGGTACCGTGTCCAAAATTGAGGCACCGCTGGCACTGCGTTACGTCACGATGGCCGACACGGTATGGCTTCCACCGTACGATGATGGACTAGATCGATCGGATGGCTTGCAGCGCATTGAGCGTCACCGTCCCATGCTGGAAGTGCACCAGGAAAAGACAATCCGGGTACGTCTTCACGTTTACGTCTCTCCTTGTCATTCGGAAGACAGCGATTGGGGCTAGCTTGTACCGATTGATTTCAGCTTCGACCACCTTGGGGTTGAAGTTTGGTAGACCCCTGATGACTACCTTGAAGGGATGTCGTGCGTGAAAAATTCCGCCTTGGAATCCTTCAGATATTTCACGGCCACCTCGTACTCCACTTTCGTTCGGAGCATCACCTTGGTGCCGATTCTGCCGAGCTTAAACTCAGCTGCAACGCCCAGCGATGAGAGATCGCCAATCAGCGTGTTGAGTGGCACTTGCTTCACCACCAGTGGAGGAAGCTTGATTTTTGCTGCATTTTGGCTGGCAGCGGTTTCATTTTCAACGGCGTCGCCGAAATCACCAATGACGCTGACGTTCGTCGCGGTGGCATCGTCCCGTCAACTCGCACCATCGGACTGGCCCAGATTTTTCTTACTCTTCTATCTTTTCAGGTTAAAGCAGAATGATGTGCAACCAAGTGGTATTTGATTATGACGACTGCGTTTGGGAACAACGTTTATTTCATAAAAACAGTGAAAAAAATATCACTTTTTATTTGTACTTTGGATAATGCTTGACATTACCACCTTTTCAATAGTTTCTTGTTGAAAATCATCATATTTCTGATCGATTGGTGATAAAATTATTGAAATTGATCCAGGGACAGCTGAGTTATTAATGTTCAAAATCTTTCATAATTTTGTTTCATGTTCCATTTTCGGTTTTCACAAAGTGTACCCCAGTATAGAAATTAAAGACGTAGTCCTAAGTCAAAAAACTCAAAATACACGCTATGAAAGATTTTTAACATTTCTAAGAACACCTCATCCATCCGCCCCCACAATAAAATTCGGGAAACCGTCATCATCACCATACAGAGCAGCTGCCCCGGAGCTCGCGTGAGAGCCTCGAAAGCACCAAACATACACATTTCAATAAAATATTCCTTTCCTCTCGGGCTCCAATCTTCGACACCCCCCTCCCCGCCAAACTACCACCGTTCATTGCGGGCGGGGGTGGATGAATGTTACAACCATTTTCGGAAACACCGCGCTCACTACAGAGTAGAGTTGTACAACAAACACGACTACGACTAGGAGGACGACTGCGAACGTGGAAAACAACAACACCATCAACAATGTTGTACTCAAAATCCTCGCAGTTGTCGGTGTCGTCGTCGTCGTCGTCGTCGTCGTCGTCGTCACCGCCGTCGTCGTCGTGGTCGTTGTCGGGAAGAAATTGAGAGCAAATGACGATCATTTAGCATAGCAGGGAAATCAGTGCAAACAGGACTATCGGTTCGGTTGGTTCCATTTCCCAGGTTTGACCGCAGATTCGGAGCCAGATATAGTTAGAGCTGGGGTGAAATCTCGGAGGAGGTGGCATTTTGCTTTCTTTCTTATGTTGTCGGTTAATCTAGATGAACAATAGATTACCAGGCGTGATGGAGCCTTATTGCGTTTCATCTCGGTCCGGCGGCGTTCCGAGCTGATCCGTGTCGAAGGTTGTGCGAGGAGAAGCCAGTGTAAGGATAACGAACAGTGCTGGGTGTGGGTGGGGAGTGTATGTGAACGATTGGGAGATCTGTGATAGCCGTCAAGCTGGAATTCGCCAGAAGGTGTTGTTCTTCGTTAGTCAGCATTATCTTGAAAGAAATGCGATTATCTGATTTATTGTCGTGGATGAGTGGAATTTGGTTTCTTCGTCGGTGCAGGTGATACACACCTCCACAGAGCCTGCTATGGATCGGGGGAAGAGAAAGAGAGTGAGAGATGGTGAAGAAAATGGAAAACGGTGAAATGCTAATGGTTCGCGATATCATAAATTGTGTGAGGAAAATGTCAACATGATAGCACCTCTTCCCAGGAGAGTGAGCGCAAGTGAAAAGACGAGGACGAAATTATATAATAAGTGAATAGCCAAAAACGAGCCCTCGAGGAAAACTGCAACGAAGGTTTCTAGTCGGTCGACAACGGTTTGCCGATACGTGCACTGTTGGTGATGAAATTTTCGGGGAAATTTCCACTTAATCAAACTGGATGGCGGAGGAAGCTGTACCACCGTGAGAGTGATAAATGTTTGACCTCAGCTGCTGACCTATTTTTCTAACTTCCAATCGAGCTCGGTGTGTGTGATTTGAAACATTGCAACCACGAGAAAAAAAAGAAAGGATGCGATGTGCTTCCAATCCTCATTATCGTAGGTCGGTTTTAAGTTTCCGAAGAGATCACCTCAGTGAGAAAAACACAAGCATCCCCAGCAAGAGAGAGAGGGAGCGAGAGACTAAAAACAGGATACTATGAGAAATGAATCCTTTCGAATTTGCGTCTGCCATTAGCATCTCATAAAGAATCACATGTCACATTATATATTGATGCCGAATCGGTTTGCTAGTGAATTGCGGGCAATGAATGGGTGACTGAAAGATGAGAAGCAAGTTGATTGAGACGAGCAGAAGCTGGTGCGGCCATATTAAGAGCAGGAAAATAATAATAATAATAATAAAGAATAACAGGAATCTCCGAAAGCTACAGACTCATTGCCTCCGGCTTTTGTTTGTCCCCGAAAAATAAAACATAAATACAGAGGAAAAAATACACACGTTTGGATGGGGGAGGTTGAAAATACAAACCTCGTGCCGTTTCCCCATCCACTCAGTGTTTGTATGACTTGGCACTTGGCTTCCGGTTTGGAGGATTCTGCTGTGCGGATTATTTAGGTTGGTTTCTGCAAATTGATATTCATAATCTCATACGATTGACGTTCCATAAGCAAATAGCACAAGATTTATTTTCATTGAAGGGAATTAATATTTGATAATTTTCCTGCTTTCTCCATCATCGTCGAGGCTTCAAGCCAAGGAGTGAATTCATCAAAATTAGGCTTGTATTTCTGCAATTGCAATTTTGCTGGTTAATCTTAATTAAAGAGGCTTCAGCAATATGAATTCTAGGGTAAAGGGTTATTTTATTTTATTCTAATTAGTTCGTAGTGAATTTTTCAGATCTGATATACTGCTTTGTAGAAGATATAAAATGATAAAACACAATACTCGATTAACGGTACCGTAGTGACACATTCAAACCTTGTTGAATCAAATAAAGTAGGTTAAATCATCCAATTAATGTTCATCCCCAACTTGTTACTGGGACTGCACTTTGCTTGATTGTACAAAATCCTTAGCTTATAGCATTAAGCACATCGCAGAATTAAACGGACAAGTTTACCAAAGAGTTCTATGAAAAGTGCTCATTCCCAAAAATTTGACCCAAAACAAACATCTCTTGCAGGGTCGATAAGCATTCGTACTATTGGATAATGCTGAATATTTCGTGTAAAAATGTTAATAACAATGTTTTGGCCAGTTGTAGAAAAATAAAGGTGAAGGACCTTCAAATTTAATTTCCACCATCCAAAAAAATCGGGATTTTTTAAAACTTCTGTTAAACCAGCAATTTGACTGATCTGGCTATGAATGTTATACAGATTGAATGTTTGAAAATGGAATTAATGGTGTCGATTGAATTTGTCCATTTAATTACGCAAGCAGATGAAAATTAGCCCGTCTGTTTACATTTCCGACTGATGTGGTTTGATGGCTATATCGGCCGGATGGTACTGAGTACACGCAAAATAACCGTTCCGATATTCGTGGACAGAAAATCACTATAAGTTGAACTACAGTTCTTTCGAATTCATGACTATAGTTCCGATAAACGTGATCGAGTAAATCAAATTTTCGTGAATTTAAATCTCAAGTCCATGAACTTAGTTCAGGCCTGTTCAGCGCGACTAGCGATTCCGTAACGCTAAGCAAAATACAAATTAAAATCATGTCTCCGTGACAACCAATAGTAATTATTGTGATTTTTGTTCCTGAAATCGTGAACTTGGATCACATGAAAAGCTTCAGCTGAGTGCTCGCATTTATCGCGAATAGTGTGTAGCTTATTAGTGAATTCCTCGAAGGAAAAGGAGAACCAGTGAACGTCCTGTATTCAAAGCGACAAAGCGGCACCAGCTGTGGAGAAAGCTTTGAAGATTGCCCCAGAGGCGATTAGTATGATTTCTGATAGGTCGGACCTTAGAAGTAGCATGGGAGGGAAGGTGAGCAAACAGCTGAGTGGGGATGTGATCAGTGCTTGTTGCTTGTTATGATGATGATGATGATGATGAAGGTGGTAGTAGCTGCTTTGATGGTGACCGAAGATCCGTAAGCTGAAAGTGTGTCCAGCCCATCTGCTGGAAAGATGCCTTCAGCTAATTTGGAGTATGGGTGAAACATGTATTGTTCGGTTGATACAGCCAGTCGTTTTCAGATTCCTCCAATTTCCATGCTGTACAATCCAATCAAAACATTGCAAATTATTTTCAAGATCCTGATGTTCAGAACAGATTTCACGGTGCAACGTCACGCAGGCGTTACGTTTATTTTGCGGAACAATGTTCAGGAGTTCATGATTTTTATTCGTTAACCAAAAAATAACTTGTTCCGAAAATCGTGACTTGAGGCACAGAACAGAAGGGAAAGTGCAAACAAATCGGTGAATCAAAAAGTGAAACGTTTTTCTGCTCAACAAGCGATGCGTTGTGGCAGCGTTCCACACGGGCTTTCTATGTGCACTCACACTATCATATCACTGCCTATCGTAACTGCAGACAGAAGATGCCTTCTACCGCTAGGTGCGCTAGTGTTCCCAATGAAACGTGGAGCCACTTTCTGATCTGAAGTTCCCCTTCTGTTCTGTGCTCGAGGTTGACGAATTTTGTAACGGATTTTTTTTCCGGATATACCGTAATAATTGAGCAAAGTCAAAATTAAAAAAAAAAACTCATAAATTTCGTTTTCGAGTTTGTTTCACAGAGTCTTAAACTATGTTAATCATCGATCGAGTTTCCACTTGCTGCAATTACGGCCTCCACACGCTTCCGGAATGCACAGCAGGTTCTAACAATGTAGTCTGGATCTATTTCTCTCCAGGTACGGGTCAATGTTTGTCTGAGGCTTGCTGTACTCGGGTGGCGTTTAGAACAGGCCTTGGCCTAGGGGTTAGACAACTGTACTCAGAGTTAATTTATTTGCAGTGAGTAAATTTGAGTTACTCATATTTACTCAAAAACAAACAAAGTAGTCTAATATTTTTCATCAAATAGTGTTCAAACAATCCCCGTCTGACAGCATGTTTTAATTTCAAGATTTAGTTTTCATTCATTAAAAGATCCAAGTTAGATGGCTCTTGTCCAGGTCAGGGGATGTTTAGGTCTCTTTTCCTTCCTAGGATGGATGGCTAAAGTGTAATTTCTTTGAAGTTTTTGATGATGTGGTGGTGTTAGTGTTTCCATATCCCAGCCATTTCTGATTACCTGGGAATTTTAAAATAGCTGAAGACTCTTCCCGGGAATCGGGAAATATTTTCGGTAGTTATTTATTAAAACTTGAACTTCGTCAGGATTTCCCCCGGAAGATTTTTCCAACAATATCTGGAAGTTTCTTCCAACTTCCCCTTGAAGATTTCGATCAGCTTCTTCGGAAGGATTCTTATGATTTCTCTCGGAGGTTTCGTCTGACTTTGCACGAAAGCTTCTTCCAACATCTCCTGCAAGTTTTTTTTAACTCGCCCTGAAAGAATCTTCCACCTTCTCCCGCAAATTTCGTCCATTGTTCAACGGAAGTTTCATCATCTTTTCATTCCAACAGTATCAGATAACAATCAGAAGTCCTACCGCTAGAAGAGGAAACTATTTCCCATTTCATCCGAACTTCCCACGGAAAACTTTTCTGAATTATTATTAAAGTTTCATCCGGCTGTATAGATGTCTCTTCTAACTTCGCCCGGGAATATCTCACAGATTGTGTCAGAAGCGTCTACCGGTTTCGTTTGGAAGATTCTTCGCCAGAAAGCTTTCCTGACTTCGCACCAAAAATTCGTCAAACTTTCTCCGGAAATTTCAATCAATTTTCCCCAAAAGTTGTGTGGTAATTTTAAATATAATATATGTTTAACATGGTTGTCGACAAAAAAAAAACTGCTTCTCGGGAAGTCAAACTAGTTTTCTGAGAAATCTGGTAAATTCCCGGGCAGGAAACACTAGATGGTGTGATTTCAAGACTAAGGAAGTAAGAATTTGGCCAAATGTTTTCAGAAGATGAATTTATCTCATGAAAAATAATACTCAATGTCACAAAATCGGTTTAATATTTTGTTGCACTACATGCCTGAAATGAGGAAACTGATAATTAATAATTATTATTAATAATTACGGAAGACGGATTTAATTCTCTGAAAATATTTAGCTGGAAAATGTCAGAGTTAGGGTCAACTCTCTCCAGAAGCGTTCGTTGTTTTCCCTGATACTCCTGCAAAAATACATCAATAGACACTAGTTGAAAAGGTTCAACAGGAACAGGTTGAATTTTCATCGTCTAGTGTTGTTGTGTTGATCGATATTTAGCACAAAAGGAGCATTGTTGAATGCAGTCTTTTATTTAACTGTTCATCCCAGGTCAAAATAGGTCAATTCTGG